TGTAATCTATAACTTTTTTAAATAATTTTTTATACATAATAATATAATAATCTATTATATAAATAATAATATACGAATTATATATATAATGATTAGATTTCATATTATATATAAGAATAATAATTAGTATATATAATATTAGATCTATTAAATATTATTTTAATATTTATATTCATGAAAATCAAATTTTTTTTATTCAAAAAAAATTTTTATATTATATTATATTAAAATTTTTTAAAGAAAATGTGTAGTTTTCAAAATAATAATTCGTTATGAAAAAAATTTGTATGTTATTTGATATATTATTTTTTAAATAAATGTAATAAAAAAATGTATGAAGATTAAAGCTAAATTGTTAGTTATTACAATAATTTAAATTTTTTAAAAAATTATCGAAAAACAAATTAAAGTTCAACATTAATATCTACATCTTTAATATAATATTTGATTCTTTACATTTTTTCTAAGTAATGGAAAATGATTATTATATCAATTTACATTTCATTTTAATGTTTTTGTTTTTCCAGTGTATTCTTTCGCTTAACTCTTTGAATCAGCTCTTCTATCTGGATAAATCATGATTTATCAGTGGCTATAGATGCGTTGCTGACATATTATATCAATATATTCTGTTGCTATATGTCGACATATCGACAAAATGACTGGAAGTTTGATATATAAATAATAACAAACCATGATATTAATAAAGTTTATATATACAAACGCAATAAAAATTAATCTAGTATAGCCAAGTGTACATGAATTCAATAAGCCTTGAACACTAATTTATTCAGAAATGAAATTTTAAAGGCAAAAACTTTTTTTTCGACTTATTTTTTCATATAGATTCATCTCCTTGCGGTTTATATCTGATTAATGATATCTTGTACATAAAATAAATATTTATTCATTTTATATTATATAATAAATAATCAAATCTAAAATTTTTTATAAAATTAAAAAACTTTTCATCAAAAAAACAAAGTTTTCATCCAAAACTCGGTTGTGATTTCATTCAGAAATAATAATCACGTGATGAATTTTTTTTGTTATGCAGACTTCCGTGCCGAAAGAAAATAACGACAATGAAGATGCTGGAGAGGAAAGCGATACTGGAAGTACAAATAGTTCACATCATTTAGCTAACAATAATTTACCGACAAAATTGCTCGATCCTATGGCTTATCTGACATTTGACAAGGTTCGTTTAATTTTATATATATATTATATTATTTATATTATTATAATATTATATTATGTATATTATATATTATATATATATTATATTATATATTATATTATTATAATATCTTATATATTATATTATTTATAATAAATATACACATATATTTATTTTATACATGTATGTGTGCTTGCGTATGTATTTAAGGAATCAAAATTAAAATTATTTATAACTCTCAATTGATATTGAGAAGTCACAAGTGATCACAACTTTAAATAAGATGTTTATGGTACATATTTAAAATGTTAACATAGTTATATTTTATATTTTAAACCAACAATATTTTATATTTATAATCGACAAATTAAATGATATTATTATTTTATTAAAAATTTATTGTTATTTATTATTTAAATGATATTTACTATAATATATTTAAAACGAAATATGAATTAATATTGAAATATTACTTATAATAGCTATCTAAGTATTTATCTTATATATAAATAATTATAATTAAAGTGATGTCATAAAAATAAACAAATATATGTAATTATATTTCTATTTTAAAAAAAAAAATTTATAAAACAAAAAATATAAAATCTATTATTCATTTTGATTGTTTAGTAAAATGAATTCCAAGTTTTTCATACTTAAATTAATATCAGAGACATTGGATTTATATTTATATCGATTAATAAAAAAAAATATATATAATTTCATTTAATGTAAGAGTAAAATAATAGATATATTTTTACAATTTTTGAAACTTTTCACTTTCAAAAAAAAAAAGATTTTTGTTTTCAATTATTTTAATTATATATATTACATGGCACTTTATTT